AAGCTGCTGTTGAACCAAATGTTTGTTCACTTCACTCCTGTTTATTTCTCTCGTTGTCTCATTTGTTCATTTACACCTGATCTCAGCAGCCTTTGGTGGTGTAGCTCTTGGTCTGACCTCCCCAGACCAGCTAGTGACAATGGAGCAGAGCCTCTGGGCCAATGCCCTTGTGAAAATGTCTGCATAGTCCTTCTACACCAGTGTCCTCTCCTCTTCACCCCAGCAGAGTCCACTCCATGCTTCAGAGGAAGCTGCAAAAATGGGCTATGATGCCATAAATTCAGAGAGATGTTTCTTGCTCCTGTCCTTCACAAATGGCATGTGCTCACAAGCCCACATGGCTACCAGCCAGTAGCTGGTTGAAGTTTTTCAGTCGAAGTGAATGTAGCTATGGGGCTGCGTGGGAGATGAGGACAGGCAGATGAGCTGGCTCTGCCATTGCTACTGCCAGAATGGAAGCACCAGGAACTGCAGGGCTGAGATGCTGAGCTGGCTGGTGGAAAACTGGCTCAAGTTTAGGACTGTCTAGGTTCACCCCGCTTAATTAGCCTTTCTGAGAGAGCAAACTGAATGGCTTGGCTGCAGTTCTGCTCAGGTGTGCTCCCAGAGTGAGCTGGGATGACCTTGCAACCCTGTCCGGTGTTGTGAGAACTGAGCTCAGGTCTGCACTGCTTCAGGTCTCTCTCCCCCATGCTTAGAAGCTAAAGCTGAAGGTAAGAGCAGTAACTCAATGTCTGATTCCAGGTCTCCCGTCTGAAAACCTCGATTAGGTGGTCAAGTGAGCTCTTCTTCCACCTCCACCCCAGCTGCGTCCCAGCTGCATTTCTACTGAATCTGTGATTACTGTGCTAAAACTGCAGCTAAATTCTGTCAGCTCTGAAGCATAAATTACGAGGGTTGGTCTTTACATCAGACATGTAATTACCTGTCTACAAAACTGTGAAAATGTACAAGGAAAAATAAGAGGGAAAAGCAAGATCTCTGTCAAATGAGAGAAGGGCTGTCATTTTCCCCATTATTTTTATTTCCCCATTATTTTTATTTGTTTGTTTTCCTCCATTCACAGCAGTCCATAGCCGTGCTTAATCCAGCTAGGAACCTGCTCCAAAGATCAGTCTGCC